CAGCTTGTGGCTCTGTCTCTGATCCCAGTCTCCCAGGCTGGGCTGCAGAGCTGCCCTGTCTCATCCCAGCAGAGCCCCATGGCCGTGCAGTCATGTGAATTGTGGCTGCAGGAGCAGATGATGCCCAGGGCTTTTTTTTTTTTTTTGGCTTTCTCCCTCTTTTCCTCCCCCCCCTGCTTTGCCCCCAGCACTGCACCCAGGTTGTTTTCCAGCTGCGTTTTTTTGATAACATGTTTACAGAAACATCTCAGCTGGAATCTGCCTCCATCTCTGGGGACACTGGAGGCTCCGACCTGGGGCAGGCGATGTCCCCTCTGTGCTCTCCCCCTCCCCAGCCCCTTGCAGCCCCCTGCTCCATAAGGCACAGCAGCAGGGATGGCACCTCAGGTGCTGCTGAGGATCTTATGGGAACAGGGGACATCCCAACTGTTTCTCCTTCCCTTCAACACCAGGCCTGGGGCTTGGCTGTGGTCGTGCTCCAGGTTCTCATGCCCTGCTCACCTCTCCCCTCACCCCCCCACTCTTCATGGGCTCCTACCCTTTGGTGGTCAGAGCAAGGCAGATAATTGTTTTCCTTTTCTTATTAATAGATATGAAATGCCTGCCCAGGGGGCTCACTTTCAGCTCATTTACTGTGCATCTGATGCCAGATGTTGGCTATTTACAATGCCAAGGTGATCTCTGATACTAAAATTGTCACAGGCAGAGAAGACTTGCTCTTTGGCTTTGTGCTTTAAGGAATTTTCAGATGTTACTTGAGCTTTTTGTGACCAGGTGGTTTTGCAGTAGAAATCTGAAGGTTTGTTTCCCTCAATGGTGAGGTCAAAGGGGAGATTTTGGATCTTATTTTTTTTCAGAAAAAAAATGTGAAAGGAGCAATGGGCAAGGGCTAAACCTTCATTTGCTCTTGTAAAGCCAGTGCCACCTGGATTTTAAATCCAAGGCTGCCTGTGTTGTGAATATAATGTGTGGATCTGGGGGAGAGGTGTGGTTAAAAAAAAATATAGAAAATGCTTAAAATGAATATTTCTTGCTGCTCACATCTGGGCCCTGGGTCTGGTGGCACTGTCAGCTCTGCTGTGCCTCTGACAGCCCTGCCAGTGTTGTGCCAGTGCAGGCTGGTAAATCAGCTGCAGGCTCCCTGCTGTGGTCTCTGTTTCCTCCAGCCCCCAGTTGTTCTGGCCTGAAGGATTTGCATGTCTCTGCAGCAGAGGGTCAGGGGAAGGGGCAGATCAAGGTGCTGGTTTGCAGGTGGCTGGGGCTGCTCTGGTGGCTGCAAAGCCAAAGGGCTTGGGATGCAG